TCCTTCAGATTTGGTAGTATGATTTGCATGTTTCCAAAGTTTTCCCATTTCTTTCATTTTCATTTTCCCATTTTCCTGGTCTTTGGAACTTAAGCATGCTTAAAGTAAGACAAGAAAATCCTTGGAATTATTCAGTAGCTTATAGAGTTCTTTTACTTAGTGACCATCTTCATCTTCAAAGTTTAGCTTTATGCTTCTCTTTAAATATGCAAGGTGCTCGTCTGCCCTCTAGTGGCAGTTTCTTGGTTACTGCATCAAGAACCAAGCTTGTAGAAGCCTTGACGAAATTAAAATATATGTCTTCTAGATTTCATAGACATCCTAGAGAGAGATTAAAAATACTGCAAAACTGAAAGCATCTTCATGGGAGAGGGAACCTAAGATGTTAAAATGAGGATAACACTTACCTGTTATTGAACACTTAGCACAAGCATCTTTCTAGAATGACAATCCTGGCAGCAGCCTCATGAAATAATTTCCTGTCGTTCCCATCCTACGGAGTAGGATGAGGAGGACAAGGAGAAGGAGGCTGTCAGAGAGGTGGAGTAACTGCTCTGTCTAGGAAGAGGCAGATGTGGGGCCTGTTCTTTACATGGGCACAATAGCCCATGTGGAAACCGGAGGCCAGTAGAGGTTTCCATTACTCCATTGCAGCCTTGCTCTGCAGCTGGGAGCTGACATGGACAAGAAACCAAAATCACACCATCGGTTTCTGTCTACGACCAGAACCCAGGGTACCTGCATCAGGGATATTTCATTTGTTGTACACGGATCTTCTTAAGGTTGTTGACTAGGTGTCAGATACAGATTATCCAGGTTTTGAGGAGCCAGAGCTTGGAGGGCAAGGACCAGGCACCTGTTGCTAACAACTATCTGATAAACTGAGAGTGGCTGAAGTCTTCCAGGCCTAAAGAATCCTAGAGAAGTCAGCACCACTGTGCCAAGGCAGATAACACCCGGAGGCTGACTGTGCACTGCAACTTGAACTCTGGAAGAACCTGCAGGAAACATAGGTAGAAGATGGCATGGACCTGAAATTGGCTTTGGGTGCTTAAGGACCAGTGTAAATGTTGGTGCTGCCACTTACAAATTGGTATGAACTTAGACAAATTAACTCAACCACCTGGGCCTCCACAATCCCCTCTTACAAAGTAATTGCTCTTAACTCTGTGTTAATTTTCTGTTGTCTTCAGTAAGGCATTGAAATAACCAATTTATAAAGAGAAAATTTTGTTTTGCTCACAGTTTTGGAGGTCCCAGTCTCTGATGGGTTGACCCTGTCACTTTTAGGCAGCACAGCCCGCAGGGAACACGTTGCAGAGCAAAACTCCTAATCTCGTGACCAGGAAGTAGGAAGCCAGAAAGACCTGGGTCCCACAGTCCCCTTTGAGGACTCACCCCCAATGACCCAAAGACCTCCCAGTAGGCCCCACCTCTCAAAGGTTCCATTGCTTCCCCATTGTGCCACTCTGGGGACCACGACTTCATCTCACTGGGCTTTGGGAGACACTGAAGATCCAAACTGCAGCATCTCCTCCAATTTTCTGTAAAGATTAAGGAGGATGTCAGGGTGTACCCCGTTGTGTTGGCAGTGTTGCACATTCATGTGACCACGAACTGGCATTGCTCCTGTCTACAGCCTGCCCAATCCACACAGGGCTAGAAGAACGTGGCCTCAGCCTGAGAGTGAACTGCAAGATCCACAGAAGGTGAAGCATGAGATGGGAGTGTCACCGGGTGAGGTCTGAGGAGGTCCCAGAAGGGAAAAGAGCACTTCAGTTCAGCTTTGGCAGGTTTTTTACTTACACTATAGAAAGGAATTTCAGGGTGCATCAAAAGAGGCACAAATAGAGACTTGTTCAGGAAAGCAAGGAGATTTATTCAGCAATAGAGCAGGATTTGCACTAAAAGGGAGGAGTGCTTTGGGGCAGCAAAACAACTTCACCTCCATCCTCTTAGGGACTTATCAGCGGGTGAGGTATTGGGGGTCCCTGGCTTCTTTTAAAGGAAACCTTGAAAAAGGCAAACATGATAAATGTAAGGGGGTGCCATTAGGCTAATGAACTCGATTCTTTGGATTGTGGAGCACAGAGCAGCCCGTGGTAGTCTGGTTCTTCTCAGAATCTTCTGGTTGACACTATCTAGTTAATACGTAGCACTTGGAGGGGCACCATATCATGGGTCTTTAATGATGTCTCTCTAGTCTTTTAAAAATCCGTCTAAAAATACATTTTGTAAACAACGATATGTAGGCACAAATTAACTGGACTTGTGGTACTATAAAATTTATTGACCCTTTTAAGAATTTAGACCTGGAGCAAAATAGGCCTGAGGGTTGAAAGTGAAGGTGTTCATGGAGCTTCCATACTTAAAGTTTGAGTCCCTGTTTTCTTCTGTCTCCTTTCTACTTAGCCTCATTTTTTCATCCTATTTCAGAAGCAAATGGAGTCCTGGAAAGGTGGCGGCTTCGGGGCTTAGCATGAGGGCCAGCTCTTTGCATCTGAGCAGTCCAGGCCTGGGGACAGCTGGAAAATAGAAAATAGAATGCAATTGAACCCATAGGCAAAATTCTTCCTTTTTATTTTTTTTAATTAAAAAAAATTAAATTCTTTACTGAGTTGCTGAGTCTGATCTCAAACTTATGATCCTCCTTTGCCTCAGCCTCCCAACATTACAGGTGTGCACAAACATGCTGGCTTGAGCATGGTTTTAACAGATGGGAACTGACTGATTTTAACAGTCAGATGGGAACTGAATTTCAGTGAACTCTGGCAAACAACCCTCAAATTTGGAAGACCCAAGTGCACCTAGAAGCAGTTGCTCCTTGCTTGTGTGGCAGCCAATTTTGTGCTTAAGTAATCTGTGACAGAAATATAGATGGCTACAGGATGGTTGTGATTAAACAATGGTGATTATATTAATGGTCTTCTATTTATTTCCACCCCTTCAGGTGTCTCCAGGACGCTTGCTACCTTTCTTGGTACTGCCAGACCCCTATAGAGGCTCAGAAGAATAGAAGTCTTCGACTGTGCATCTACAGCCTTTGCCTTCCTTATAGCCAAGGGCCAGTGGGTGAGGTGTTGGGAAAGGGACATGGCTACCAAATCCTGGCCAAGGGCACCCACAAGCTGGAGGGTTTCAACCCTTTCCCACAGGAGGAGACAAGGACTCTGTGCAGCACCACCCATGGTGGGAGGCGGCCTTGGGGTTTAGAACACATGTCTGAACCTAAGCCTGTGGGCTCAGCTCTTCCCCTGAGGATTCCCTTCACTGGGAAGTGGGGTGAGATCTTAGTAACATATTACACCTGTAATCCCACTGGCTCAGGAGGCTGAAGCAGGAGGATCATGAGTTCAAAGCCAGCCTCAGCAATGGTGAGGCGCTAAGCAACTCAGTGAGACCCTGTCTCTAAATAAAATACAAAACAGGGCTGAGGATGTGACTCAGTGGTCTAGTGCCCCTGAGTTCAATCCACAGTACTCCTCACCCCTACCCCCAACCCCCCAAAAATATAAGTTACTGTTATAGGGGCAGCAAAACCACTGCACCTCCATCCTTTTAGGGACTTATCTGGGCCTGCAAATAAATTGGTCTAAGAAGATTAAAGGGGGAAAACTTAAAAATTTATTTTATACAAGTTTTATGTGTCCTGGGAACCCTCATAAGAAAATGAAGACCTGAAGAAGAGTTAGTCAGTGACTTCCATATTCAGTTGGACAGAGATTGGCAAATTTTGGAAATGTCAAAAGGCCAAGGCTATTGAGGAAGACCAGGAAGATAAGGGTTAGTTTAACAAGCCTGTTTGTATAGGATTCTCTTGGCCTTAACATTGGTGATAAGAATGTTGCTTTTATTGCTTGCATAGGAAGGGCATCTTTCACATGGGAATTTCATCTTCTGCTTTTAAGAAAGAGATGAAGGTCACAGTGATCTTGCACTTGTGGTTTTCAGAGCTTTTAACTAACAATCAATAGGCCAGGGTTGTATATTTTAACTCCTTCTCTGGGGCACACCACAGACCTTCTGTTCCAGGAAGGATACAGAGGCCAACCCTGAGAACCCCTATGTCTATAGTGGGGCCTCCAGAGGCCAGTAAGGGGAATGCTAATATTCTAAGAAGTTCCATGTGTATTGGGGTAGAGGTTAGAGGGCATTCTTGTTCCTCCTTCACCCAGGGAATATTTCCAGTTTTTTTGTTTTGTTTTGTTTTTGTTTTTCAGTATTCAGGAGAGAACCCAGAGCCTTCAGCATGCCAGGCAAGTACTCTTCCACAGAACTACATTCCCAGACCCAATTGTTAATTTTTTAGATAATAGTAATAAAATAGTTGACTGAAATTTAATTTCCCATATTCCTTTAAGTAGAAATAACTTTTTCAACTTCGATTATGCATTTCATAGATAAGAGGAGCTAAAAAATACTGACTTTAAATTTTTAAAGAAAATGTCAAGGACACATCAGTTTGTTTTAACAGGTCAGACTTTTCTTCACATCACTGAAGCACAGTAGCTTTGAAGACACAAAAGGAACTTACTATTCTGATTAATTCCCAAAAAATTCTAAATATTTTCCCCCACAGGTATATCCAGTTCAAGAAATGATTTCATACCTGAGTGGTCACATCCATCCTGTGGTTGGCAGCTGAATCAAACTCCTAAATTACTTTTAAAGAACAGGATCATAGCCTTAAGTTTTTATCTCCAGTGTTTATTATCACAAGATATTAATACATTGGATTCTTGATAGTAAATTGTAATGCTGACTCCAAATGTTTAAACTGGATTCAACATTGTTCTAGAAAGTTGAGTGTTCTGGAAAACTAGGGGAAGCTGACAGCCTGTGATACTGCCCAAATGGAACCCTGAAATTAACAAATACCACTTTGAAGCATTACCCTCTATTGGTCAGGCCCTGCCCTGCCCTGGTGCAGCTCCAAAACTTGCCACTCAAAGTGTAGCATGGGACCTGGGACTGGGTTCTTTGTATTGCAAATTCCAAGAATGGAATCCACAGATACAAGGGTGAGAGCAAAGTAACAGGATTTATTAGAGTAACCAAAGGAAAGAAAGCAGAGCTCCCAAAGGGGAGAGGTCCCAAGGGAGGGATGCCACAGTGTGGCTGTTGTCTAGGGTTTATATAGATCTCTAGGGTTAAGCTAACCTCCTCCCCAGTCCTGGGTAAGGCACTCAGTGTCCACAAGCTCTTCACATACCCTTTCTCCAATCAGGTTACTGTGCCTTTTTTGGTGGTGATGGTGGTGGAGTCTGGGTACTAGGCAGCACTTGTCTCACTATCAGCTACTTCTTCTGCATACACAGGAGTTTGCATGACTTTGATGAGGTCTGGCTCGTGTCTGTAGTTTCTCAGTCCTGCAACACAGAAAACTGACCTTGAAGGAGCCCGGTTTCCTGCTTGCTCATTTTAACTTTTCTCCTGCCTCAAAGCAGCCTGCAGAGCTTCAGTTTCTTCCCCCTGTGAGTGCCTCTGGTCCCTGTAAGAGGCTGGGGTTAAAGGAGCATAGACCTATGGGTTCTCTTATAGGATTGGAGGTCAAACAGAACAGCAGCACTGTGCTCCCCTCCCCTCTGCAGCCCTCCAGTCCCACCTCCCACCCTCCTGCTCTGGGGACAAGGACTCTGTGAGGGGAGAAACAGGCTGCAAAAAGGGCAGCTCTTGCACCAGGAACACTGCCTGGCTTCTCACTCAGGGTGCTCTGTGCAGGGCCAACTGAAGCAGAAACATTTTTCTTTGATTATGAACAAATTCAAATACACAAGTAGGAAGAATGGTATCATGAATACCTTTGAACATGGGTCAAGATCTTCCTACATCTGTTCTCCACAGACATGGAAGGCAACAGCGCCCTTCTTCCCTTGCCAGGTGGAAGCTGGCCCCTGTGCCTTCTGCTTGCCTGTGGTCACAGCCAGATTGCCTGTGTGTACTCCTAGCTGTAACTTCAGGACATCCTCATTGCTCTTCCTTTTTGCCTTTCCCAGTTCCTCTGGACTGTGGTTTCCTCCCCTTTGCTACACACCCCTGAGTTGTGACCCCTTTACCCCCATCATTTTAGGGTTGGACTATCAATGTATTTCTGCCAGAGACATTCTTCCTGGTGTGGCCAGTAGTAGTGCCTTCCCGACATTGCCTACTACCTTACACCTGATGTCAGCATGCATCCCAAGGAGTCCAGTCTTCTTAATTAGCCTATAGTCCAGGGCAGCCTTGACCTGGCATAGAGGCCAAGTCTTTGTCTCTGCTTTTATATCCCTGCCCATTGCCGCCTTCCAAATATGCTTTTCTCTTTCTCTAGATACCCATGCTCATTCCATGCTCTTGGTGAGCAATGAGCAGTGTAGCTGTCCTGCCTGTGCTCTGAAAGGGATGACAGGAAACTTCAAGTTCCAGAAGCTGCCACCATGGGCTCCCAGGGAGAAGGTGTGCCTTACACCAAGCTGCTCCTATGTCCAGGGAAATGTAGCTTTTCTTCTGGAGAACAGTACGTGTGCACCATGCTGCTTGGAAAGCTTGTGTATTCCAGCAGTTTGTCAGGTACTGTGTTCCCATCATGCAAATTTGTGCACAAGAAACAAGCCTAAGTTATAGAGCTTTCATTCTGTAGTGACAACCAGAATGTAGCTCCACAGATAAGAAATGTGGAGAAGGCAGCCTTGGCCCAGGGGAGGGGGACTACAGCTCAGATGGAGAGTGGGGCTGACCCTCAGGTAGGAGGTGAGACAGTTCCCCAGGTGAGGAATGGAGTTGTTCCCCAAATGGGGAGTGGACTGTCCCCCAGGTGGAGAATGGGGCTGTGCCTCAGGTAGAGAGAGGGGCTATCATGGGAGAAGAGATGTCTCTGAAGAATGATCCTAGGAGTTCCAGAAAGAAAGGAGAATTTGACTCAGGATCAATGGGTATCTTAGCATAGATGTTAGAACAGAATTTCAGCATGTACCAGTTAAAGGCATAGAGAGAAGTTTATTTGGAAAAGTAATTATGTATTCAAGGGGAAATGGGGGCAAACTCAAGAGAGAGAGAGGCCAATGACTCAGAGGGTGGCTGAGGGAAGAAGATAACAAGCTCGAGGCCAGCCTCAGCAACTTAGCAAGGCTTTGCTTCAAAATAAAAAATAAGGATGTGGGTTCATTCCACAAAGATGTGGGGAAGGGAAAGGGAGCGGGAGGGAAAGGAGGAGGGAGAGAGACTCTCTACTCTCCAGATACAAAATATATACCCTATAGCCACATACCCAATGAATCACTTCTTCCAGCCACAGCCCTACTGCCTCCAGTTACCACTCAGTTAAACCCATGAGGGATTAATTCACTGATTAGGTTAAGGCTACAACCCAATTAGTTCTCTGATTCTTCTTGTATTGTCTCACATGTGAGCTTTTGGGGGATACCTCACTTCAAAACCATAACAGTTTCTCAGAAGTTGCAATTATTCATAGGCACTTTCTGTATTTCAGTGTTTCATGTGTGTTTCCTACATTTTAATAGTTCAAGGACGCTTTCTTTGGGACTCAGTATCTCTCCCTGTATTACCAAATTTCTTTCTCAGGGCTGTTCCCCAAGTAGGAAGGGAGGTCATCCTTCAGGCAAGATGGGGTCCAGTCTCACAGATGGAGGTGGTACTCCCTCTCAGAATGCTCCAACTAGAAAAGGCTGCTAGTGGCTGAGAGCACAGGAAGCATGTTTTCTTTGAGGGGTGTGGGGAAGCTCTTTGAAGTCCCTATTAATAAAGTTCTGGTTACCTGGAAATACAGGAGTATTGATACCTGTTTGTCAGAGGACTGACAGAGATGGGGTCTAAAGGCTGGGGTAAGAGGACAGGCACTGGCAGTCAATAGAAATGAGAATACAGGGGATATCCTAAGGATGGGGAAGGTGGAGGGTGGTTGCCATACTGGGGGTGGGGCAGGAAGAAGAACAAAAACTACCTGAACTGATATGCTTTTAACCAATGCTTTTGACTCCAGTTACACAAAATCAACCCAGAATTGGTGCTTCTGTGTTTCAAATTCCAGGAGCCAGTTCTCTGGGGAAGCTCCCCAATTGTCTGCTGGCCTTGGAGTTAATTTTTTTTTCAAATTCTTTATGGCGGCAACATTACAAGACTTTCCCTGTCTTATGCGTAGTACATCCAACAGCATTTGTGTTGAAAATGAACTTGAATTCAATCTACATTGTTCATATTTGGAAGCCCTTCTATTCTAAGATGTCATTTCTGGCTAGGAATAAAGTTCAAAAAGGTATTTTGGAGGTTCTCAAGAAAGAATGTTTAAGCAAAGGTGAATGTCTAATGATAGTCTAATGAGTCCAATGATGGAAGAAGAAGGACCTGCATTTCTCACGTTACACAATGCCAATAGCTCCATCTGATGACTCTTACTGGTCCTCAGCACCACCCCACCCCTAGTCCCCACCTGCAACTTACACACAAGGGGCAAACAGACCTCATTCGTCTTGAGCACTTGGTGAAGATCTGTTATGCAGGGTCACCTGTGGAGCTTCAAAATCAACAGACTTTTAGAAATACCCAGGTGCTGCAAGAAATCAAACACCTGCTGGGAAGTGGTCCAAAGTGAGTGGGCAAGGCAAATTTTACTTGTGTTGGGATACCTGGCTAGTAAGTGTTCCAGGAGGGCAGTCAGCCTGCTTTCATTCCTAACGCATTGCTTCCCTTTGTCATGATAGGAGGATCTCAGGGTTACAATCTATGCAATTAGCTAATTTTAAAATTGGGGAGGACAAAGGGAAGGAATATAATTAAAATGGCTACTATTCAAGTGGATCTTACATCCCAATTAAAACTAAATACTATCTTCTGCTACTTCTTACAAGACCAAGTCAATCAGTGCCCAACCCCTACCTGTACATATTCTAACAGGATAAGTCTGGCATGGTTCTGTGCCTTGATGCATCCCTCTCCCTCCCCCCACCACCTGGACCTCAGCTGTCAGCACAGAGGGATGCCTTCAGAATTTGACCATCAGAGTTCTGGGAGTCTCCATACTGAAATGTGCACCAAAGGGCTCTCTAGTTCTTGCTGTGAGACCACCCTCTGCACTGCTCTCTGGCAGTTTCCTCTCCATAGCCTCAGCAGACTGCCAGTTCATGCTCAAGTGAAGGCCACAGGAAGTCATGATCCAGGGCAACTTGTTGATGGGGCTTAGTTACATGCTCATTCATGTCCTGCAAAGTTAAGATTCTGCATGGAGTTTTAAAAATCCTTCTGCTGCAAGAGAATCAAATATGTCTTTTTAACTTCCAGAGGATTTGAAGAGTTCTTTTTATTGGTGGAACTGATTACAATGAATTAAAGTCATAGTTGGTAGGTTAAATGTTATAAGGTTAAGAAACATTCAATTTTCTAGTTCCAACATAAAAGGAGTAAATACATCTCATCAGGTCTACTATCTCAGTAGAACCTTATGGATTATGGAAGACTAAGAGAAAGGGAAAGTGGAATTTCTCTGGCAGGCTTGAACCCCAGCGGTTTGAAGGTGCCTGTATGTGGTTTTCCTAGCCGTACTGCTCGTGTTCATACTTTGGGACACTCTGTACTTGCCTCAGGCATGGTGATAACCCCTGCAGATGCTTGATCAGCATGACCTCTTTGTCATAGCACCTTCAGGTATGTGGAGTGCACGGTTTTTGGAGTTTGTCACTTTCTGAATTCTGTTGGAGATGTGAGCATCTTGATTGTGTTCTTGAAGGAAACAGATTCAGGACTTCTGAGCCTAGCACTGCACTGATTCAGACCACAGCCACTCTGGGTATTGCACCTCTCCCCATGCTCAGTGGAGGACCCAAGGATCCTGAAAATGAACTGGAAAAGGCCCTGCCCTCAAGAAACTCATGGCCAAGAAAGGAAGAGAAATACCATGCCCATGAAAAATATCACCAAAGAACTCTGTCCAGAGGCTACAAGGAGCCCAAGAGGGTAACACCTCCTCTTGGAGACTGGGGGTAATGAATACTAAGGCTGAACTTTGATGGATGAACAAGGGTTAGATGAAAGCAGAATTTGGAAGAGGCATTGACTGCAAAGAGCAACATGATATTTTTGGAGGATTATTTGTAATAAAATATGTGGAGAAGAGCTGTGATAAAAAAATTAAGCTAAAAAGATAATCAGAGAAGATCCAGAGATTTCTTATACTAAATTTAGGAGGCTATCATCTAATTTTAGAACTTCAATAGTTATCAGAGAGTTTATCAATATTTTCATAGCTGTGTTTTTAACAATGTTTTTGGAGAGCAGGTACTGGGAATTGAACTCAGAGTTGCTTTACTACTGAGCAATATCCTCAGTCCTTTTTATTGTTAACTGTGCCACAGGGCCTCACCAAGTTGCAAAGGCTGGTCTCAAACTTGCCATCCTCCTGCCTCAGGTTCCCAAGAACCATTAAACAATTCTAAAATGTGTAATTTGGTGGCATTTAGTACATTCACAATGTTGTGCTACAGTTATCACTGTCTGTTTCAGAGCACTTCATCACTCCAAAAGGAGGCCTGATACTTATTAAGTAGTCACTCCTGGCCTCTCCTCCCCTCCCCTCTGGAAACCACTAACCTGCCTTCTGTGTCTGTATATTTGCTTTTTCTGGATATTTCATGCAAATGGTTAGAGTTGGAAGATAAATTTAGGCCTTAAAATTGTTTTAGACACAAGCTTCTGTGAAAAAAAATAAAATATGTAGAAAAGACTGTTCTGGGAACTACAGAGAGAAACAATAGCTAGAAGGGGGATTTGGAGGCTTCTGGGGCTCTGTGGATCCCTCTCCTTTACTGACCAGCTCCTCTTGCCTGTTAGCATTTGCAGACAGGTGGAGCTGCCTTGGTTTCTGGGTTGGATATTTTCAGAAAGGATCATGATCAGCCCAGGCCCTGCACTGGGTGGGGTATTCCTGTTCTTGCTGTAGAAGAGATGAGACAGGAGCTGTCATGTAACCAGGTGTGAGTTGGCATCTCAGCCTCCACCGTGGCTTTCCTGAATTTTCTCCTGGGAGCTGAAGCATCTGGAAGCTGGCAGTTACAGATCTGTAAAATACTTGGAAAGTCAGTGCTTGTACAGTTCCATGTGCATGTTCCAGAGAGGGGAAGGGCCAACTTCTATACCAACGTTAATTTCCTGGAAATGCTGGTTTAAAAAAAAAAATGTCAAGAAGCAAAAATGAAGTTCTGGGCCCTCAATCTGAGGCATGGTGACTGCTTTCCATACGTAAGTTCACAATGGGTATTGTTTGGGGACAGAGCTTTCTGTGTGGGAGCAAATGAGTGGCCAGTTTTGACTCCTTCCCATGTAGGCACCTCCCTGCCTACAGCATGGGAATTGTAGTTTTATTACAAGGAGAGCTGCAGGGGTCAAAGCAGAGGTGTCAAATCCTCATGGCCTGATGGGTTCCAGGCATACCAACCCCCACTCCCAGGCCCAAGTTCTGACTATGCTTAGGTCAAGCACATTGTTATCCTGGCATTCTCTCAGTCTAGCAACCAGTCCATCTGTCCTAGCTTCACAGGCATCTGTCCAACACTGTCTCCTTGGCTACTCTAGGTGGGCTGCTATCAGCTCCCATCCAAATGGGTCCCCTGCCTTCCACTCCCCATTGTTTTTTCATACAGCAGCCAGACTGATGCTTCTGTAGCACAGGTTGATGAGGACACATGTGCCCAGAGCCCTCCACCTCTTTCAGAATGAAGCTCTGTGTCCTCCATCTGACCACTCCCATCCTCCACTTATTCTGAGGTCAACTCCTGTTACCCTCAGGTCACTGCAGCCCACCACACTCTCTGACACTCCTCCAATGGGACAGGCATCCTCCTGCAGCTTCAGCTTTCTTCAGCTCCATTCAGATGTCTCACCACAGAGTAGCCTTTTGGTAACAGCCCCCCAAACCACCTGACTAACCCTCACCCTCTGTGCTCTCTGGCAGCATTGGGGAACAGAGCCCATCTGTCCTCCTTGCTGCCTTTTCTAGAGTCCAGGGCAGGACCTGGCATGCATCAGAGATCAGTGCTATTTTGTGAGTGGAGATTGTTACTTTCCCAGATGTTGTCATAAGCAACTCTGACACTATTTTATTTTTTTCTCACAGAGCTTTTTGAAAACAACTAGAAAAGAAGCATTAAGTGCTATTAACAAAAGAACACAAGCTCTGTGTGGTTGGGAGACCAGTGCTGACAGGTACGTCCATGAACCACAGCTAAGTCAGGTTTTTCTGGACATTGCACATGGCATGGGACTTGCAAAGAACCAGTCTTATGTCAAAGTCAAAGCTGGCTTCACAAGCCAAGAGTGGATTAGAAAATGTATCCCTTAGCTCCAATGGAAAAAAAAGAATGGAACTTTGAACTAGTATGCAAAATTGGACCAAGTAGCATGATGAATTTAACCTTGAGTGTTGGGGGTTACACAAGGTGATTTCAGATAAGATTCCTCCTGTCACTGTAGGGAACTCTGGGAACTACACAGTGAGCCTTAGCTGGGTGCAAGTACTAGATTTCATGGGTGCAGAGCATGTGGACCTGAAAAGAGTAGAATTAGGTGAATCTCACAAGTGCTATAATTTGTGAAATAGCCAGTCATTTAAAAAGACAAATATTAGTTGCTTCTCTTTATGAGATGCTTAGAGAGGTCTAATTCATACAGACAGAAAGCAGAATGATGGTGTCAGGGGAAGGGCATTGGAAGGACAGTGGGTAAATAGGTGCCTGCTACAGCCCCAGTTTCAAAGTTTGGGCCAAGCAGTCTTCCCCAACGGTAGGTACAAGAGCTGAAGCATTTCAGTTTATCTTAAAAAGTTGTTTAGGAATTAACCAAAGTGTAACTCTGTTCAATTAAAGAGAAATCTTCAACTAGAATTAGTGTTCCCTCTGGGCTGCCTTGGGAAATGTCTTTCTTGTCTCTGCCACCCATGTGCAACCTGAGAATGAGCAGTCAACCAGGGCAGCGGTGACATTCTCCCTGTGCTGAGCTTCTGGGCTCCATTTCCCACCCACCATTTGGCTGGCACAGTCCTTCCTTGGCCTGCAGTGGTGGTTGGGTGAGCTAACCTCTGGACAGTATGCTTGGTTGGCCTTCCTTTCTGGAAACAGAAGGCCTCTTAGCTTTGAGCAGAGTGAGGGTGTCTGTGCGGTACCTGTTGTCTGCCTCCTGCTGTCTATGAGGACACTCCCCATGTCAGCCCCTTGCTCAGAGGCCATTACACTTACACAGACAGGCACACGTACCTTTTTCCTTCTTTCCTGGAGCTCAACTAAGACAGCAGGATTTTTCCTTTTTTAAAGAACCTTACTACATTAAGAACTAAAAAAAGTAAATATAAATATAGAAAGCAAGTTAGCAGGCTGATGAACAGATTAGAAAATATGTCACATTCCTAAGAAGGGCAAAACTAACTTGAGATATTCCTTCTGGAAAAGAGAAGGGTCAGGAGGACTGACCATGAAAAGTTCCCAAGATCAGGTTTCAGATGAAGGAGAGAATAGCGCATGGGTTCTGCACCTTAAGCTCCAAAGTTCAAGAAAGGCCATGATGGAGAAGGGCATAGGGAGGCAGATGCTGAGAGTACAGGAACCAGTGCTACCTTCTGATTTTAACCAATAATAACAGTTCACTCTCTTCACTGGGCAAGTCTGTTCCTCTGCAGAGCTCTGGCATGTTGCAAACACTGATAGTAAACAGAGTTAAGGCCCCAGACTGTTCCCCTGCAGAGCTCTGGCATGTTGCAAACACTGATAGTAAACAGAGTTAAGGCCCCAGAGGCTGACTAATGTGGATGGTGGCTTGAGGCGCCAGCTAATCCCACCCACCCACCCAGGGCTCAAACCTGCCACCCTTAACCTCAAAACTCTAGGCCTGTGTCCCTTGCCTATGGCCATATACTTCAGTGCTTTTCAGTCAACCCAGGCCAACGTCCAGACCCCACAGGACAGACAGGGCATGTATAGAAAGTGATTTGCTCATTTCATGAAACTTCCAAAGCAGAGTTTTAGGTGGGCACAAATTTTTGTAAATGGCTCTCAATGTGCTCCCCTCTATCATGAGAACTTCTCCTGGAGCACCTGACCCAGCACTGTCTATTTTACTTTCTAAGCAGATCATATCTCTGTTGGTCCTTTGGGAAGGACTCCTGGAAATAGACCTCAGGTCACAGTGAGGGTCTTTCCAGCAGACTGGGATGATTAGAATCAGGTACCAAATGCATGACAAAGACAACACCAGATTTCCTTCTCATTCTGCCTTTTCTTTCATGATCAGAGCCCCTCACAAGCTTTCTGCCGTGATCAGGAACCTCCGAAACAGCTGTGGCCCCAGCTTCTGTTGTCAGCAGCTGCATGCCCCTAGGAAAGCAGATGGCACATTCTCTGGTCTGTGGGAGGTTGGTGTCTGATCCCTGCCACACTGAACTTTATCAGAAAGCTACTGGTGAGAGTCTGGGAAACTGTCCTTGGAGTTTGTCAGTGACCCCTTTTTTGCTTTTCTAAGTTCTTTGGACACTGCACAAGCAGTTTTAAGGTATGAATAAAATTTGTCACTGCAATAAGGGAAAATCTACTTCACAATTTTATTGTCTGAAAGAGTGTCATTTCTGAGCTATTGGCTTCAATTATAGAAGGTCATGTAAAATACCTGAATTCCTATCAGCTTAGCATGAATGGATAAGAAATGATCCTGAAATTCCTGATAAGACCTGCCTCCTATGTAGTGTGAGCCAGTCCCTGCTGGGTGCACTATCCTGTCATTTTTATTAAGCTGGCTTTTGACTATGGAGAATATCCAGTGCTGGGGCCAGGCCAGGCTATTGGAGAAGCCCTCCCTTCTCATTGAACTTTTAAGTTTCAGGGCACCTCTTCTGCAGCAGTCCCCGGCAACTTGAAGACAGAGATTTACTGCTGTGACACGGGACTGCTGTGCTTTGTAGAGGACACAGCCAAGGCACCACTTTCTGGGACTGTCACCATAGGGACCCCCACCAAGGTAGCCGGGTCCCCACAGATCACCAGCACTCAGCCAGGTCTTCTGAGATGGCTTTCCTGTCTCTCCACTATCCCTAGAAGGTAGGGTGAGGTTGGTGGAGGTGTGCACTTTCCCACCCACTGTCACTACTCAGGCAGTTGGTAACTTTAGCGTCTTTTTGAGTCACCATGCAGGGATGACAGATCTGGCTACCCTTTGCCATCAGTGTCCCTTATCCCATGGTTCCCTTTGTTTTTTCAGATCAGTCAGTTATCCAGACTGAATCTGATCATCTGAACTTGTTTCTAACGGGACACACACAGCACTTGTGAGACAAGGGAAGTGCCAGGAGCATGAAAATTGCCCGTTAAGATACTCAGGCCATTTCTCCTCTCTTCTCTGGGGGCTTTACATTTTGCCTGTGATGCCAGCTATCTAATTGTACCAACACCATGGGCTTCACCTGTAACTGCTTTTAATCGTTAATCGAAGTCCTTTAATATTGAAAGCTGAAGGTTGAGTAGTCTAGACTGTTTCCAAACCCCAACTTACTTATAGCACCAGGAACTGCATGTGGGAATGTGAAAATGGTGGCACTCGTGTACAGAACCATAGCAAGTCGTGACTTGTGGAAGACACCATCTTTTAATTCCACTCATTGAGTGAAGAGAGAAAATATTTATATTTTACTCTTATTTCTGCAGCTAGAACAGTAGTTCTCAGATTTCTGCTGACCTCAGAGTCTCTTGGGAGCTTCCTGGCCCAGCCTAGTCTGTGACTCAGTGGGTCTGGGGTGCCTGTCTCACAAGAGTCCAGTGATGCTGGTGCTGTTGGCCTAGAGTGCACTGTGAGGACCAGCTAATGAAGTTGTTCCTTGGCTTGTCCACACCTTGCTTCCTACTTCCAAGAGGCTCATTCCTACCCTCCTTGGGGCGTGTTCCTGTGACCCTATCAGACTGTTCTGAGATCTGAAGTCTCTGCCTCTCTTCCACAGCTCCCTGGGCCCTCTACCTGAAGATTCCTGCACCCTCAGCTTCCCCAAGTCCATGTCTATTCCAGAGATGCCCTGTCCCCTCACACAGTGTCCTCCAGGGACCATCCCAGCGAGAGGACTGGACAATGCCATGACCTCTGCCATCTGTTGCTTACTTGAAAGGGATGCTCAGGCACCTCCAACTCTGGGATTTCAAGTCCACATGACTTCTGGAATGGCTGTTTGTCTGCTGATGGAATTTGGTGATGGTTCTGGAGTTGAAATGAGCCTCTATAACATGTCCACAACAACAGAGGTGACTGCCTACCACCAGTACAGGAAAGGTATGTTACCAGTGTCCTCCAGAGTCTGGGGATATAGAAGCAGTGTTGGCACATTAGCCAGAAATGAAGCCCTACTCTATTCTTCTGGACCCCTCCCAGCAGGTCTGGTGGTAGCCTGTGCATGAGTCAGTCTGTGCCCTGTGTGCAAGGCTTTGCAAGCATCATCTCATTTAATTTTTCCATCAGCCCTCTCAGATAGGTTGGTGGGTTGAAGACTAGCCCTGGAGATTGCACAGCTAAAATAGTAGGGCTTCCTACATAAGGCAAAATTCTAGAAAGGTACTACTAATGAAAATCACTTAAATTGTCCTTCATGGACAGATATATAATATCACAATTTTTCATGCTTAAATTTTCAACATCCTTTGTTTTGATCAAAGTAAGGAAAAAATAAAAACTTTATACGAACATTCTAAAGTTGAACTTATTCTAAAGCTCTAGAGTGAATGGAAATCGGGGTGAGTGGAGAATTCTGACACTTTTCTTCCTTTCTGGTAGGACTTAATATTTTCCTTGCTTTTCTTTTTTAAAATTAGTTTTTGAACATGGTCCATTTTCATGGTACAAGCCCATGCATTCTAGAAAGATGTACAGTGAAAGAACCTCTTCCCATTAACCCACTGTTTGCTATTTCTTGTATCTTATGCACATTTAAGCAAGCATAAATATTATTTTCCCTCTTTTCCACAACTGGCAGTGTGCTATACGTGGTGTCTGGCTCTTTGCCCTCTTAAATGCAAACTTACATCTTGGAAAAACTTCAGGGTCTGCACAGAAAGAGAATCTCTGTCTTACTTTGTGACTGACTAGTAGGGCATTAATTTAATGAGCCAAATCTATTTTATTTTTTAATTTAATTATTGCTAAATTGCTCTTAGGGTTGCCTGATCTATACTCCTGTGAGCAGTATAGACATAAATACAATAGGTGGAAGCAGTCTGTTTATGACGTTTTAATTTGCATGTTACTAGGTACATCCACATTAAAGTGCCAATATTTGACCATATTTACCCAAGAAAAGAACTTTCATGGTTCTACTTAATGTGGTACTTTGTATGAATTCTTTTCATCACTGAGAAAATTAGTCCTTTCAGTATGATATAAGTTGCAAATATTTCTCAGTTTGTTGTATGTGTTTTGGCTTTGCTTATAGGTTTTTTCTGTTCATGTGGAATATTTAATTTTTATCAAATTTCATCAACTTTTCTTTTCTAGTGTCTGAATTCTATGTCATAGTTAGAAATGCTTTCCATACTATGTGAAACTGTCTTTCCTGGTTTGTGAAACTATCTTCTCTTGGTTTCTTCTAGTATTTTTTTATAATCTTATTTTGCATATTTAAATATTTAATACATTTGGATGTATATTTGTACATGAAATCTGAGGCATAGATTGCATTTTCTTGATTCCTTAGTGTCCTCTGTTTGCCAATGATCCCTCTCCTGCACGATCCAGAATGCTCCCTTCATTACATATTAGCTTCCTGCAGCTCTCAGGCCACTTTCATGCTTTCTGTCTAGTCCAGCTGACCCATCTGTATGCTGCATCATTGCCATGAAGCTTTGTATCTTACAGTCATAGGGCTAGTTCCCCTGGTCACCCTTTTCTCTAGGACTAGTTTGACCATTTTTACTTGTGATTTTTCCAAATGAACTTTAGACTCACACTGACTGGTATAAACATATCTTATTAATTCTATTAGCAAAATATTTAATTTATAAGTTAATATATAAAGAATCTTTGTATTTGAGAGTCTCTCTTTGTTAGAATACATCCTGCACTTTTCAATCCTTCCTTATATCTTTAGAAGCATTCAAAAAATTTCTTCATGTGGAACTTATTTACTTCTTGTATGACATTTTATTTTTGTGCTGTTAAAAGTGATCTATTTTCCTCCATTTTATCTTCAAACAAGTCGTCATTGGGATATAGAAAAGTTGCTCATATTTGCTTTCATTTTGTGGCTTTTCCATCTTACTGAATTCTCATATGGTTTGTAGTTATCCTAAAATATATTCTTTATGTTATTTTTTCCAACTGCATGAGGATATCACTTACAAATGATATATGGTGATATATCAACCTCTCATTTCCATTGCAACACTCTAGTTTCTTTCTCTTGTTTAATTACATTGGCTGGCACTGAGGCATAGATTGCATTTTGGCTCATTAAATTAACACCCTACTAGTCAGTCACAAAGTAAAATAGGGGTGTTTTTTCTGTATACACCCTGGAGTTTCTCCAAGATGTCAGTTTGCATTTAAGTGGGCAAAGAGTCAGATACCATGTATTAGACATATATTCATCCAAATATATGTCTAAAATATATGTATTAAATATTTAATATATATGTATTAAATATTTAAATGAGATTAATAAATGATGGTGGGCATGTTCCTCTCCATATCCTTCTACTGTTTTCCATTAAATTGGAAACTGGACTACAGCAGATATAATTTATTATAACAAGTAAATGTTTTAGTCATCGTTTTTGCTGCTGTGACTAAAAGACCTAACAAGAACAACTTTAGAAGAGGAAAATTTATTGGGGGACTCACAGTTTCAGAAGTCTCAATCTATAGGCTGTCTCCACTCCTTGGGGCTCAAGGTGAGGCAAGACATCATGGCAGAAGAGTATGGTAGAGGAAGTGGCTCACATGGTGATCAGAAAGCCTAGAGAGACTCTGCTCGCCAGATGCAAAATATATACCCCAAAGGTATGCCCCCAATGACCCACCTCCTCCAGTCACACCGTACCCATCTTCACCCCCCACCCAGTTAATCCCATTAGGTATTAATTCACTGATTAGGTTAAGGCTGTCATAACCCAATCGTTTCTCCTCTAAACCTTCTTGCATTGTCTCACAAATAAGCTTTTGTGGGTCACCTAACATCCAAACCACAATAGTAAGTTTCATCTTTTCCTCTTTTACTAGGGGCTTTTTTAAAAAAAGTGAGAGTTGTTGAATTTTTTTAAATACTCAGCATTTGTGGAATGATCTTAAAAATTTTTTTCTTTTTTGCTTAAGACAATGCATATCATGAGCTTTATTACTGATATCTTAATATTGAATCATTCTTAAATTTCTAGGGGGAGGGCAACCTTTTTTGAATGTGCTGCTGAATTCAGTTTCTTAACATTGTCTTCATGGTCCACTGGTACTCATGAATAGGATTGGTCTTTAGTCACTGATTATTTTAAACATAGAATATATAATATAGAAGTGTAGAATATATTTGTATATCAAAATGTGAAATATAGAATAATATATGTGATATATGTAGAATATAAAACATTTCATACATCAACAACTAGATTCACTTTCCTCTCAGTGACACATGGCGCATTTTATATAGATCATAGTTTAGGTCCCAAAGCAAATCTCTACAAACACAAAAATTGGGATAATACCCTGCATACTATCAGCTCACAATAGCATTAAACCAGAAATTGGCAAAAAGATAAAAAACAGAAACCATTCCCACACTTGAAGACCAAATAATACAATTTTTTTAAGAGAGAGAGAGAAAGAGAATTTTTTAATATTTATTTTTTAGTTTTCCCTAGACACAACATCTTTGTTTATATGTGGTGCTGAGGATCGAACCAGGGCCACACGCATGCCAGGCAAGCGCACTACAGCTTGAGCCACACACCCCCCCAATAATATAATTTTTTTAAAAAAATTTATTTATTTGTTCTAATTAGGTATATATGATAGCAGAATCTTTTTGTGTACAAATGGAGTGCAATTTTTCATTTCTCTGGTTGTACATGATGTAGGGTTGCACCACATGTGCAGCCATATATGTACCTAGAGTAATGATGTCTGTTTCATTCCATCATCTTTCTTGCCCCCATGGTCCCTCCCTTCCAGTCAAAGTTCCTGTATTCTTCCCATGCCTCCACCCCGCATTATAGATCAGCATCCACTTATCAGAGAAAACATTCGGTCTTTGTTTTTTGGGGATTGGCTTACTTCGCTCAGCGTGATATTTTCCAACTCCATCCATTTACCTGCAAATGCCATAATTTTATTCTCTTTTAATATCTCTTTTAGTAATATTTCATTGGGTATATATACCACAGTTTCCTTATCCATCTATTGAAGGGCACCTAGGTTGCTTTCACAATTTAGCTATTGTGAATTGAGCTGTGTTATAAACATTGATGTGGCTGTGTCACTAGAGTATGCTGATTTCAGATCCTTTGGGTAAAGACCAAGGTGTGGGATAGCTGGGTCAAATGGTGGTTCCATTCCATACTGCTTTCCAGAGTGGTTGCACTAATTTACAGTGCAATCAGCAATGTATGAGTTGTACCTTTTCCCCCACATCCTCACCAACACTTATTATTGCCTGAATTCTTGATAATTGCCATTCTGACTGGAGTGAGATGAAATCATAGAGTAGTTTTGATTGCATTTCTCTAATTACTAGAGAAGTGAACCATTTTTCATGTATTTGTTGATTGAATGCATATCTTCTTCTGAGAAGTGACTGCTCAGTTCCTTAGCCCATTTATTGACTGTGTTATTTAATTTTTTGGTGTTAAGTTTTTTGAGTTCTTTATATATCCTGGAAATTAGTGCTCTACATGATGTGCATATAGTAAAGATGTTCTCCCACTTTGTGGGCTCTCTCTTTACATTATTGTTTCCTTTGCTGAGAAGAAGCTTTTTAGTTTGAATCCATCCTATTTATTAATTAATTTATTAATTCTTGATTTTATTTCTGTGCTTTAGGAATCTGGTTAGGGAAGTCAGGACCTAATCCAACATAATGAAGATTTGGGCCCACTTTTTCTTCTATTAGGCACAGGGTCTCTGGTCTAATTCCAAGGTCTTTGATCCACTTTGAGTTTTGTGCCTGGTCTAATTCCAAGGTCCTTGATCCACTTTGAGTTGAGTTTTGTGCATGGTGAGAGATAGTGATTTAATTTCGTTTTGCTGTGTATGGATTTCCAGTTCTCCTAGCACCATGTTTTCACCAATATATGTTACCAGTGCCTTTGTCTAATATGAGATAACTATATTTATGTGGTATTGTCTCTGTGCCCTCTATTCTGTGCCATTGGTCTACATGCTGTTTTGGTGCCAATACCTTGCTATTTTTGTTATTATGGCTCTGTAGTATAGTTTAAGGTCTGGTATTGTGATGCCTCCTGATTTACTCTTCTTGCTAAGGATTGCTGTGGCTATTCTAGATTTCTTATTTTTCCAAATAAATTTCATGATTGCTTTTTCTATTTCTATGAGGAGTGTTGTTGGGATTTTAAGTGATATTGTGTAACACTTTTGGTAGTATGGCCATTTTGACAATATTAATTCTTTCTATCCAAGAACAAGTCACTGATTTTTTTTAAATAGTTTTGGACTTTGGTATTAATGTTATACAGGGGTTTTCTTTTCTTTTCTTTGTCCTAAAACCGTTTAAATAGCATTAAAATAATTATTGTCTTTTGAAGAATTTCCTTATCAGCCCTCTGAGACTGGTTGTTTTCTTCATTGTCTTGGTATGGCTCTACACCTTCCTCTATTTCATTTGTTAAGATTTTCCTATTTCTCTGGTAGTTAGTTCTTCTAAGTTATTTGTTCTTAGAAAAGTAACTCTTTAATCAAGGTTTTCTAATTTATTGACCTAGAGGTCAATAAAGTTAGCTCATAGTTTTCATCAGTATCTATAGTTATTTCCTTCCATCATTTTTATTTGTGAGCTTTTTTCTTTCTCCTATTTTTCTTAATCAAGTTGACTACATTTTTATTAGTCTATGTAGAAAACTAGCTTTGGAATTTTGTTTATTCTATATTTCCCTAATTTATTAGTTTCTGCTTTGAAATTAGGGTTTTTTTTTCCCTTTCTTCCTGCTTTTTGTTTTCCATTTTGAGTTGGATGTTAAATTTAACATTCCCACATCTTGTTTGGCTTTTTATTGTTGTGGTTCTGCTATTAATTTCCACTCCTAACCAGCATAATAAGCAAATATTTTTCTCTACTATTTTGATTTTATTAAAAATTCTGTGATATTTGTGATTTAAAATACAGTCAGTGTTATAAATGAAAATTCATGACTGTCCAGCAGCTTCTGGTGAGTCACAACCCCCTTATCCAGTTCCCTACTGTTCAGCCAAGGTGTGTGGGCTGAACAACATTAAGTAAGATGGGGCCAGAGGATCAGCAATGGTGGGATGTAACTCTCCTATGTGCTTAGCACCCTGTCTTAAGTAGGATGACCAAGCCCTCTCCTTACCCTTTCTCCTCACCCCTTATTTATTTATTACTGGGGATTGAACCCAGAGGCATTTTACCACTGAACTACATTCCCAGCCCTTTTTAAACTGAGACAATAAATAGCTGAAGCTGGCCCCAAACTTAAAATCCTCCTGCCTTAGCCTCCTGAGTTGATGGAATTACAGGTGTGCACTACAATGCCTGGGTTTCTCCCTTTTTTAAATCTTTTTTTTTTTTTTGTCCATTGTAGAGGGATACTCTTCCTTTTACTATGCATTCTAATTCCTTGAATAAACCCAGGTGGCCTAGGAATCTTACTTTTTTTGTGTCACGTATGGGCAGGCTCTGGCTACATGGATCAATTCCCATCTCACTACACAGCCTACCATAATTCTGGACATCCTTGTAGTCACTGTCATAATGTTTCTCTTGGAAGCCAGCTTTGTTGTGTGAACCCTTCTGGTAATGCTAAATTTTCATAGATAAGATGAGTGCATTTGTCTTTACTGACATAACAGGTGTTCAGCCTTAGATCTGTCATATTTTACATTATGGGCTCTGCGAATTTTAAAATATGCTTCATTAAATGACTTCTCCTGCCCCTTTTGCATGTTTGTCCAAGTTAGTGTTCTGTTTTATGGAAGGCTTGTGGCCTTGTCTTAGTTGATCTCTTTTATTTATAAAGAGGTTTTTATAAAGTGTCCTTTTTTAAAAAAATATTTATTCTTAAGTTTTAGGTGGATACAATATCTTTATTTTACATTTATGTGGTGCTAAGGATCGAACCCAGTACCTCAAGCATGCTAGGCAAGCGCTCTACCACTGAGCCACAACCCCAGCCCCTATAAAGTGACCTTTTTGCTCTACTTCTTTAGAGCACCCATTCATTATCCACTATGAGCAATAACAAAATTTAGTATAGACTGATTTCTCTCTCCACATCACCAATTTTCATCATTTAAATGATCTTCATGAGTATTTTTATTTTTGTTCTTATATATGCTTACACACTTATTAATTGTTTGGTTAAGTTTTCATGCTTTTATTTTATTTTTATTTTTTTATATCTTTATTTAATTTATTTACTTATATGTGGTGCTGAGGATCGAACCCAGGGCCTCACTCATGCTAGGCAAGTGCTCTACTGCTGAGCCACAACCCCAGTCCCTCATGCTTTTAAATTTCTAGCAATTACTTACAAGCAAGCTGTGTTATTTTACAACTCCACCTTCTCTTTCCTCCCAACTGTGTCTTGCTGTATCATTTCCCACTGTCAAGGTATACATTTATATGTTTTTCTGTTACCTGTTCTTCCACCTGTAGTTGATTCCTAGATCTAGAGTTAGATACATTTTCTCACTCTTAGTCCTGCCATGCTGTTCTCACCCGACTCACTGAAGTTTGTCCCCAGTAGACCCTTTAATGTTTCAGGAAAAATTTCTTCAATTATATCTCTATTTTTCTGTTCCAATATTTAAGCTTTCTTTTTGGAAGATTCTGGTCATATATGTTGGGTCTATTTTGTCTTTTTCTAATTTTTTTTGTTCTTTATTTTTAATTCATCTCTCCTGCCTTTATCCTTATTTCCTTTATGTTTCTTCTTTTGCATATGCAGTTTCTATTCTCTGTTATGCTCTTTGAAATGCTGCCTTCATTTTTTGCACTTCCTCTCTGTCTTACATCTTAGAAGCTAATGATTTCCCAAGTTGTTATATCCTTTTATCTTCTTGTGAACAATGGCTTTCTGGCAAATGATCTTACTCTGTTATGAGAATCTCTTGAATTTGTCCTCTTAACTCTTATAGTATCTTCTGAATGGTCTTTCCTTCTTCCTTCCTTCCTTTTGTCCCTTTCCCTTTTCTCTTCATCAGTATTACTCATAATTAAAAGAGTTGCTGTTTTCTAAAATGGCTGTCTGAAAGTGCTATGCATGTGCGCCATATGTGTTCATGACATTCACAGTCACTGAGTCCTTTTGCCTCTGGGTTCTCACTTCAGGATACTTTCCCTGTGCTTCCCCCAGCATGGTTCTTGCTCATTCATGCTTAATTTTTGCTTAATTTTAGCAACTCTTGCATCTATTTTATATCCCAAACATATTAGCTGACTTCTGTTTCTCAAAAAAAAAAAAAAAGTTCTCATTTTTCATTGCTGTTTTCCTCACCTTTGGATAATGCCTAGAAGAGTTGATTGGAAGCTGACTGTAGTTATGTTCAAATCAGCAATTGCTCTATTAATGTTAAATATCTACAACTTTAATACATATGCATTGATTTTTTGTTGTAGTTGCTTTAAAACTAAAATGAGAAGTTGATTTTTTCATCTCCTACTAGAGGTCAAGTCTAAAGCCAACTTTTAGGTAAAGGATACCTAAGATCTGACTACATAATATTCTAGCACCAAACAAGCCTGTGGAGAGGTCTCCTAATGACTAGACAAATTGCCTTTCTGACCTGGTAGACATGAAATTCTTCTTTTAAAATGAAGCAGGAACAATATATTGGTTCACACAAAGCTCAGCTCTTAATTAAATGTGATGATTAGCACAAATGTACTTTAAATGTAATGATCAGCACAAATGTCCCTTTCACTTTCTATTTATTAAAATCCACATGCAGATTTTCTTTTTGACACGGATGTAAGAGGAAGTGTTATAAGATATTTGGGGTAAAACTATCAATGATGTTTCAGCATTTAATATGTAGTTTCCAAGTGAAATTACAATTTGGGAAAGTGTACCTATTCTTGCACATATAATGTGACCATATGCCTTCCCTCTGGCCTTCACTCAGTACCGTATCCCCCAGGCCCTGATACTCCACAACCACATTCATTACTCTTCCCCATAGATATTTAATTCCTTAAAGTACTTCCCTCCTTTCTACATATTCTGCTGTTATTTGCAACCTTCTGGGAAAGTGAAGAGAGGAAAGACCATCTCAATTCCTAAGAAATAATTGTATACTCTGTGCCTAGAAAAAATGATTTAACATTTGGGCTTCCCATCCTGAAAAACTTGACTGGTCATTTCATAAGCATTTATTGTGTATCTATTGATTGATTACTTTTCTGACTAGATAGTTAAGTCTGAAAGTGAAGCATAACCCAAATTCTGCAGACAAATGACAGATGTAGCCACCATTCTTCCTGGGTCATTAAAAGAGGGTCATAGTAGGGGTAAGTTGGCCAGATGAAGGCATAAAGAAGGAATCTGTGGCCGAGAGATCATGCACAAGGCCGAATTTCAACAGATATCAGCAGAGCACTAAACCACACACAGAGCCAAGTTGAGTGTGGGGCTCTGTGAACTGTGTGAGTGCATGCTTAAATGGATATGCTGCTGTTGCAAGATTTCCCAGACTAGTCCCCCCATTGTGACCAGTCTGCAGATGTTAACTGTTATGCTTATCTTTAAAAGTTCACCAAGTTCTTCCTCTGTCTTCTTTTTCCAGAAGGAGTCTATATGCTCAGGGCTGTTATTTACGAGTTTCATGGAACCAAAGTGGAGCTTGGACCTTATTATGTGGAAATAGGTTGTGAGGCTGTGTCTGTGTTCATGAATTCCAGCAGTGTCCACCAGGATGAAGTCCTTGTCTTTGCTGGCTCCCGCCTGAAGCAGAAAAGTAAGACCCATGTCTGGAGGCTGAGCAATCAGACCTCAGCTCTAAATACAGGATGACTCTCTGAGTTATTTACCATCCTAGTTTTAACAGTACAACATTTGACATCACTTTCATGTTGTAATCTTCCCTTATTCAGAACTTAGTTATTACAGAACATTGTGTGCTAGGGGAATATGACAATGAAATCTCACAAGGTCTTGGACTCAAGGAATTTATAATCTAGAAAAGATATTAAGATAAATACATGAAAATAAGGAGATGGAACAGAAAAGTTTCTTAAGAATGGCTATGAACATTCAGAAGAGGAGGATTATGTGTAACTGTGGGAACTAGGACTGCCTGAGGTATTGTTGTCACATATGATGAACCATGAAGGACAGGTGTGTGGGGACATTCCAGGAAGATGGCGCAGCCATAGCCACTGCCCAGGCTGAGGAGCAATGCTGAGTCCTCACAGTATATCAGGAGCTTTCTAATTTCCTTCCTGTCTATTTACATTCTCCTCACACCCAGCTGTAACGTAGATGATCTGTCCCTTTATGTCAATGTTATAGAGGAGGAACCCCAAGGTCAGAGGAGGAACCCCAAGCTGGTAGGAGGACTCCAGCCATGTGTTATAGAAGGAAGAGTCCAGAGTGGTCCAAGTAGATGGAATTATGGAATTATAGCATTTCCCAGAAATAATAAAAGGAGAACCCAGAGGGGCATGCATCTCAGTGAACTTATTCATGACAAATTCTTATAATTTGTCCTGCACTTTTTCCAAACAGGTAGCCTAGTGAGAAACTCTCCATCCAAGTGTTATAGAATATATAGAGAAGAATTGATTTTAACCTATTAGCACACTCTAACCAGCCATGATGGTTCATTTGACTTGTCTCACCTAAACTCTGAATAAATAAGTAGCCTGTCAGGATCTAGAATTGGGAGATCTGAGTTTTAATCCAGCCCAACTGATCAATGACTGGATAATCTTTGCTAAATCCATTAATTATACTTTCCTTACTTTTGGACTGACAGATTGTGGTCAGGATTAATTTTTAGTTGTTGTTAATTAGAATATCACTATTATTTATGGTTTTTTTAAAAAAAAATCTAGTGCATTAATGAAGAACAAAAAATAGAAGTTTTCTCTTTATAAACTAAAAAGCCATGCAAAGGAACAGCAACATAATATATAATATCATATAATATCCCTTTATTATAATGAGTTGTTTCAAATCATAGCCCTCTTCTGAATCTGATTCAGTGTTTGGTATCTGCCTCTTAATACATACACTATGTGTGTGTGATGCATGTGTGTGTGCATGTGCAAAATATGCATTGCATTTTAGAGGACTAGAATGCATGAAACTTGTCTTTGGATCTCCATTTATCCTTGTGATGTGAAGGCTTCTCAGAGTATACACTGGAGAAACACTTTTAAAACAAGATCATCTAGCAAAGCAATGAATATATTTTAAAAGAATTAACTTACTCACTACCATGAAGGGAGTTCTCTGGAGAGAGAGAAAACATTTAAGGAAAATTTTAATGAAAGAAATTCTGTGACATGGTTTATATTTTTCAAGCCTGTTTGATTCCAGAGCACTTGCTTCAAATTTTGAAATGCATTGGAACTCAGAGAGGGAAAACTGAAAATGGATAATATTGATGTGTGTTGCATGAGAAAACTGAGCTAATTTTAAGCCTGTTTTTCTTTCACTATGCTTTTTCTTGTTTCAGGCACTGTTGTGATACATCATATCCCATCCACCTCTTCATATAAAGTGTCCTTTGTTTCTCAAACCCTAGTGGGTGACTGTCAGACTTGGACCAGCATGACTGTTTGGTACAAGATGCAACGTATGTTTTCACTTTAATTCCAGATTTAACAAAATCTCTCGCATGTGTCAGTTGGGGTTTTTGGAGCCACTGGCAGCTCAGGCTCTGGTATCAGCTCTACCCGAGTCCCATCACCTTTGCCCTTAAGCAGGTTCTTGGTTCCCCTGCAGTTTGTTCTAGGAATTTTCTAGAAACCATGGCACAAGGGTCCCATTGAAAGGTATAAAAAGGTGGGCTATCATCACTCACAGCTCTCATCCCATACCCTGGAGGCAGCCATCTTGCCTGGTGAGCTATTACCAGGCTTTTGAATTCAGGCCACACCTCCTACCAGGCCCCTGCAGCTGTACCCTTGGTGTAGCCCTGCACTCACATTAGCTCACTGCCCTCACACAGTCCTTGACTAAGTGGGAAAGTAGAGACGATGACTCTCTGGATGGATTCCAGTCCTCCATGTTGATGTCCCTGCACCTCTCCTTCTTTGCCATAGCTGTCTCTGTTTACACAAACGGAACAGTGTTTGCTACAGATGCAGACATCACCTTCATTGCTGTTACCAAGGAAACCATACCCCTAGAGTTTGCATGGTATTTTGGAGATGATCCACCAGTGAGGACAACTTCAAGAAGCATTCGGAGAAGGCTCCACATCCCCCAGTGGTTCGTAAACATGGTGGTCATAATGGGTGTGGCTGATGGTGATGCAGCTGGTACTCGGGTGGAACATTATCCTGGTGCTACCAAAATAATTTTAAGGGTGTCATGTTTGTGTTTTAACAAGCCAATGAGTGCTTTTGTAAATTGAGCTAAAGCATAAGATTTAAAAGGAGAGAGACCCGCTTTCCTTCAATGAGCACTATGAAAGAGTGCTGGGCTTTGAAATCAAGCAATCCCAAGTTCAAGTTCCATCTCAGCCACCAGTGTGTCCTAAGACTGTGCTCATCCCCCCCTGCTTGAAGAAACTAACTAATAAGAAGGGGAGGCCAAAAATATTACTCCCCTTTTCCCATAAGGCAGATATCACTGGGTACTCTGATAACTATACAAATTAAGTCCCTGATCCCTCTGCCTTTCTTTTTTTATTATTATTATTATTTTATTTTTTGGTATCAGGTATTTAACCCAGGGATGCTTTACTACTGAGCTACATCCCCAGCCCTTTCCATTTTGTTAAAATTTTGAGACAGGGTCTCACTAAATTGCTGAGGCTTACCTCGAACTTGCAATCCTCCTGCCTTGGCCTCCCAAGTCACTAGTATTATAGGCACGTGCCACCTCACCCAGCTCCCCCTGCCTTTCTGTTGAAATGACATAATTTCTCTCCTGCCCTACTCTCCCATCCCATAGGTACCATGTGAAGGTCAAGGCCTCCAGCAGGATTAGCAGTGTAGTCTCCAAGCCCCACATCATCAGGGTGCAGAAGAGAATTGTAGCCAACCGGCTCATGTCTACCACCTCAGCCCTAGTAAACACCAGCGTGGCCTTTGAGTGCAGAATCAACTTTGGCACGGATGTTGCCTTCCTGTGGAATTTTGGGGATGGCACTATCAGCACGGGTAGTGGCTCCAATAGCCACATCTATAGCAGGTAAATCATGTGGGGGCAGGTGGCAGCTTGCTGCAGATAGCAACTGCACTCAGGGTTTCAGGGATCAGCTCTAAGATTCCTCCCAGCTCTCCTGGCTTTCAGGTGATGTAGAGACAAATGGGATCTGGCTATGACTCTGCATAAGCTTGAAATCCAGGAAAAAGATGGAGAGAAAGAGCTGTCTTCAGTGCGGAGTGGGAGTGGGGGTAGGGGTGGAGTTCCTGTTCCAAAAGAGGTACAAGGTGTGGTGGTGACAACTCATTTTACTTCAGAAACCAGGGAACCACACACATGAGCATTTACACATGAGCCCAAGGGGGAATCCTGAGCAGGAGCTTGACAGAGGGAAAGTGGGGAGGGGGAGTGCTTTCTAACAGACAGCAGCGCAGGTGAGACCCAAGGAGAGGGCACCAGTGGGAGATGTCTGAATGTAAGAGCAAATGGGGAGGTGGCAGATAAAAGTTTAAGGTGCCTGGGACAGATTGTAGAAGGCCTTCAGTGTCGCTCAGAGGAGCATGCATTCTGTCCTTTAGTTTAGTCTTTACTGAATACCTACTGTTTATCTGCAACAAAGCATTATGGAGATAGTCATGTGTCACTTAATGATGAGGATATACTCTGAGAAACATGTTTCTATCTGATTTTGTCATTGTGCAAACCTTACAGACCATGTTTGCACAAACCTAGATATATAAGTCAGGCACTTGCTGTCAAGAAACAAAATAAATGAGATGTACAGGACCAGTGCTGGGGAAGACAGCTTAGTGTTCACAGCGTACTTTTCTAAGTAGAAGGAGTGCACTCTGAAATAATGATGAAAGTATTATATACTGATTTCATAAACCAATAACATAGTCATTTGCTATCTTTATTAAGTGTTCTAGGCCATGTAATTCCTTGTGCTATACTTTTATATAAAAGCAGCACAGTAGTTGTGTTTTCACTAGCATCGCTACAGACATGTGAGTGATATGCTGCACTACTGCATTGTGACAGCTATGACATCATGAGGAGATAGGAATTCTTTCTGTCCATTATAATCTTGTGGAACCACTCCTGTGTATGCGGTCACTATACAGTGCATGACCAGATGAAAAAGTGGCACCAATGCTTCCATCCAAAATAAATGTAGCATTTCTTAGAGTAGATGGACAAGGCCATGGGAACCACAGATACAAACCACAGGATTGCACATCTCAAGATTAGGAGTGTAATCAAGTGGTTCCCAGCCGAGTCTCTGGCTAGTGTGAGTTCTGAGTTGAGACCTCCCAGTGAGCATCCAGCCATGAAACAAGTATGGCCAAGGTTGAACATGAAGGCTTCATGCTGGTGCAGGGGCATATTGGAGTATGCCCAAGCATACAGAAATCAAGCCTTGTGTAAGCAGTAGCACCAGAGAAATGTTGTGAAATTCCTCTAATGCAAGGTTACTACGAGAACACAAGCCACCTCTGCTGCTTTGATGGGCCTCCTGAATAGTCTATTGCTTCACCACTGGAAATAGATTCTCATGTGTGGAAGGAAGGAATTGAGCAAGAGTATCTGGTGGACAGGTGCATACTGAGGCAGGTATCTAGGGCCTACACCCCTAGCAGCGTGCTCTTCTGCTCCAGGACATGCCCTCTGGAAGGTGGTGTTTGGTGCCATCTCTAGTGTTTTCCCTGGGCTTACCAACAATCTGAGACCAATCTGCAGCCTTATCGCCTCAGTAGGACTGGCCTTTCTTTTGAATCTCCAGGGTAGTAAGTGACATTCTGGTCCCTGGAAACTCAAATTTGTGATCTTATGATGGGACTATTTTTCTGTTTCCAATTCAAAAGTTTTGAATGATAATCTCTTTTGCATCATTCCCAAATCAATATATTTTTCCTTAGTGAAATGCAACCTGCTGGGTCCAGTGTTGCCTGTTCACATACTCCTCCTGTGCCGCATTCTTCATAGCTGAGACCCTCCAGCCTCTCCTGGAACTGGATTCTGGTCCATGTTGAGGACCTATTCTGTTTTCAGGACTCTAGGAGTTTGTTCAGGAAACCTGACCCTTGAAATAGACTAAAACAGAAAGACCCTGATGATTAGGTCAGTTGCACTCATCACACAAGGAATAACCTTGTGTGTCTCTCTGGTCAACAGAAAAGGCTGCTTGGAGCAGCAGGTCCTCACCTGGCTGTGCTGTTTTGTTTGGAATGTGTGACAGCAGTTTGGGGTTGGGCACTAGGCTTGACCACTAGGTGGACAGCTGATCCATCACATTAGATAATGAATAACCTCTGTGAATATCAACCTGTGTCTCTTCTGTCCCTACTCCTTGGGATGACTTGCCATCAAATACTGTAACTATGAAGATCTAGGATGGTTGTGAATAGTGAATGAGCTTAATGTATGGCAACTTTGATCTTTTTTATTTACTTTCTGCCCTTCCAGGGAAGGAGAATTTATAGTGGAGGTTCTTGTCTTCAACAATGTCAGCTCTGCCACCCTAAGAAAGCAGCTTTTCATTGTGCGTGAACCCTGCCAGCCACCCCCAGTGAAGAACATGGGACCTGGGCGGGTCCAGGTATGACCAGGGTCTGAGGAGTCCTTCCCAGCCGTGCTGCCACACTGCCAGCACCGCTCCACACTGTTGGAGCGGTGTCAGGATCAGCCAGCCCTTTGCAGAATGAAGGAGGCTTTGTGGAGTCTAAACTGCTACAAAAGAACCCCTGTCAGGACTTGGAGAGGGTGGGCCAGTCCTACGGGGGACAAGGCCCACCCCTAGCCTGACGGGAAGGGAAAGCCTGATTTCTGGTATGTGAATAAGTCCTTTATTTGCCTATATGATACTGGCATTCAGTACAGCTTGCTTTGAGGAGCTTTTTTTTTTTCTTTCTTTTTTTGATTATGCAGAGAACTGCAGCATTTTCAGGGGAAAGGAAAATTTAACACCAAAATGAAAAAAAAAATGATCAATTGTTGAGCACCACCTACAGGTTAGGAAAAATAGTGGGATTTTTTCCTTTTTTTTTTTTTTTTTAATTTCTTGCATTCCTTTGAGGTCTTTGATTTAAAGCAGATTTTACATCTTGGGGCAAAGGTGCTCAGATGACACGTGGGAATTAAAATCCATGACTGAGCATTTGCCAAAACGTTTTCTGTGACAAGCAGAAAGGCCTGTCGCAGCTTAGGCCCCAGCACTCCCAGAGGGTGCAGTGGAGTCAGCAGCACTTGCCATTGCCTGGGGTAGGCCTGAATCTGCTCAGGAAATCCAGAGCTTTCCAGGCTAGACCCCTGCCCACCCTCCAGGCCAGCACACACCAGCACTGTCAGGCAGCTTTATGTACTGGATGCTCATATTATCTGGGGTGGGAGACAGACTAAAAGTCCAGGGGTCTTGAGTAAATTAATATAATTCATAGTAGAAGTAACAAAAAATAACTGAGAAGTAATTTAAATAATAACTAAATTACGCCTGGGCAGAACACAAGTCCCAGGCCAGAGGCTCTGGAGTGAACCCTGGCTCTGGTCTGAAGCCAAGCCATGGGACACTGCTTTTTTTTTTTTTTTTTTTTAAATTTATGACCTGCACATAAAAAAATTGTACATATTAATGATTCTGGTTTTTCAAATCTTTTAAAACATTTTCTTATCTGTAAAACAAAGAAAACAATACTAACAACTCTCTTTTCTCTAGTTTATTTTGTACACTTAAAGTATAAAGAAAAAAATGAAATCACCTTAATTCTATCCTGCAGGACATAGCTACCATTCATCATCATCTGATGTATTTATATTTATATTCAGTATTTTTCTAAGGCTTTTTATATGTGGAGAGTGTCCAGGTTCACATGGGCTATAGCAAATTTATGTGGAGCTTTTTATATGTGTTTGTGAGTGTGTGTGATTATGATAAAATTTGGTTCACTGGTGGGTTATCATGTGATTACTTTCTCTTATTAAGGAATCTTGAGCTGGGTATGATGGCACACACCTGTAATTCCAGCAATTCAGGAGGCTGAGGCAAGAGGATCTCAAGTTCAAAGCCAGCCTCAGCAAAAGCAAGGCACTAAGCAATTCAATGAGACTTTGTTTCTAAATTCAATACAAAATAGGGCTGGGAATGGCTCATGGTCGAGTGCCCCTGAGTTAAATCCCCAGTATAGAGCTGAGGCTGTAGCTCAGTGGTAGAGTGCTCACCTCACATGTGGAAGACACTGGGTTCAATCCTCAGCACTACATAAAAATAAAATAAAGGTATTGTGTCTATCTACAACTAAAAAAAATTTAAAAAAAATCCCTAGTACAAAAAAAAGCATCTTGATTACATGATTTTAAAGGCAGCATAATGTTAAGTCCTTCACATAAATTATATATCATTAACAGTATCTTCATTATTAAATATTGGTTATTTCCATCTTCTATCAGTACACATGCCTTGACAATGATGTTCTGTGCCAACCTCCTTTTGTCTGTCCATGGCATTTCCATAGCAATAATCCCTACATGTCTCAGAGCTGAAAGACAGAGCACCTTCAGAAGGACCATGGCCAACCAGCTAGCATCCTCCCATGCTCTCACATGTTGATGCATAGGGACTTGCTCATAGCTCCATGAGGATTATATGTTTTTAATGTTTGTTATTAATATGTTGAAAATTGGCATCTAAGTATTAAAATTTGCTATAGCCTATGTGAACCTGGACAGTTTTGTGGCAAATTCTAGAATGACACCATAATTCATAGTAGAAGCAACAAAAAAATAATTGAGAAATAATTTAAATAATAACTAAAGCCATTAGATAATGCTAAAGATAAAATCCCATTTATAATGATCACCAACATTTCTTAAATTCCCATTTCTCGACTCTATATATAAAAGTTTTTAACTTTTCCAATTTTCATGGAATATTCAGGTAAAAATTATCCTCTTGGGGGAGCCCTTGCATCCAGCATGGACTTCCCATGTCAAGGTCCCCTAGCCTGGATTGCTTCTCCACACTCTGGGAGTAAGGAATAAGGTTAGGCCCACAGTGTCCAGGAAGGGGCAGGCTGTCGGGGTTAGGGGTGGGGGGTTACTTGGGAAGGACAGATCCAGCAAGATCTGGAAGGCAAGATCCGGACTATGGATGGATAGTCACTAAGATTCCTCCTGTATTATTGGTATTTTTAGCTTATTAATGTTACCAAATATGTTTTTATATTTTTATTAACTACTGTTTACATTAAAATTTTTTATTATAGAAATGTTTAAGCATGAATAAAAGTAGAAATAATAGTGCAACAAACCCATCACTTTCAAAGACCAGTGGGATCATATCAAAAGGCCACCAGAGCCAGTCCAAAGAGAGTCCCCCAGGTCCCAAATATACTACTGCCAGCATCTAAAAGATGTCCACAATTGAATTAATAATATTAATGTTTTTTTTTTTAAAATCAATGATGTTAAAAGAGATAGAGCAGCTTCCCTGTCCCCCTGAAACAGGCATATACACAGCTCACGACTCACCATTAGAAGTAGCCAGTGACCCAGTCTCTTATTCTGAATGTAATAAATAAGATAAAGAACTAGGCATTTATTCTTGCTTTCCTTAACAAACCATAGTTTAAGAAACCTCATAGTTCTAGCAGATGAAAAAAAAACGTTTTTTTCTCCTCCCCCTGCTTTTTTTTTTTTAATAAAAGAATATCTGTACCTCCCCAAACAGTTGCAAAACAATGTGTTTTAGAAATAATAAGAAATATTTGATTATGGACTAGGTTTTTAAATTGTTTAAAAAATTCATTCTTAATTGTTAAGGTGAGATACTAGCTTTGTGTCTGAGAAAACGCAGCACTAAAAAAAATCACAAAATCATGGAATTTGCAGGGAAATGGATGGCATTAGAGCAGATTATGCTAAGTGAAGCTAGCCAATCCTAAAGAACAAATGCCAAATGTCTTCTTTGATATAATGAGAGCAACTAAGAACAGAGCAGGGAGGAAGAGCAGGAGGAAAAGATTTAACATTGAACAGAGATATGAGGTGGGAGGGAAAGGGAGAGAAAAGGGAAATTGCATGGAAATGGAAGGAGACCCTCATTGTTATACAAAATTACATATAAGAGGTTGTGAGGGGAA